TTAATCTAATTTAACACAATCAATCGTTGACTCTCTCGATTAGTTAAAAAAACGTAGTTCTGCTGTGGCTTTGTTTGGAACCATTTTCGTTTGTGAAACTGAGCAGAATATTGACTCTTGTGTAGCATCAAATTTAGCAGAATTTTAAATTCTTGTTAATTGAACTGTAATGAAGCAATATAACGTTTGCACTGCTACAGATATTGGGGAGAAACTGCACTTTTGCTGCTGTGATATTGATACTATATCATATGATATAAATATAAGAGGGTAATTTTTTTGCACTCATATCTTGAATTGTAGGCTTATATAACTGCATTTTAATAGACTCCATCACACAATCAGTTGTCCTGAATCGTGTTCATCAGAAACTGCATCAGTGTAAGATGATGGACAGGTTTGGAGACAGTGGCGTTATTTTCTATATAATTAATCGCACCAAAATAATGTGCTCAACAGCCCTAGTTTAAACATCCAGAGTTGAAAAATGAAATATGATATGTCAGATCATAACTTCTCTTTGTGCTGTGGACATTGTTAGGTTGAAGAGCTGAAAGCTCAGTTGGAGAGCTGCCACCAGCAGTTAATGGACTCCAATCGGCACAAGCTGGAGCTGGAGGGTCAGCTCAAAAACGCTCTTGAGCGCGAACAGCAGATCCGTGCTGGTTATATTTCACCGGTAGGCTGCATTTATGTCATGGTTTTCATAGCGTATTCAGGTATTACCTGATTGAACACATGGTGTGTCATTATTAGGAGAAGAACAAACACATGGCTTCCATCTTTAACATCGAAGCTGCAAACGCGTGCTTTGCATGTCTAGAGACCGTTGCATGTAAACGAACAGTGCTCTTTTGCCTCTACTTAAGATGCCTCTTGCCATGTTCAAGCGAAATGACATTAAAAATTTCAATTTCATGCAAGCTCTATTGAAATGATTAACAATAACTGAACATAAATTAATAAATATACAATGATGGCATGAACAAATACTCTGAACTTACCATGCCCTCCAGATACATTCATACTCAATGATACACACTTTAAATTACTGGAAAACATTTACAGCATATTATTTACAAAAATATTTTGTTAACACTTTACTTAAAACCATTATGTATAATGGATTAAAAAGGTATTCGTAATCTATGCTGAAATGCATTATTCATAAATAATTGTAACCAAAGTTAAAATGCATTATAATATTTGAGGGTTTGTTTACAATGTGTTTTAATGCATTATAATTTTTAAAGGTGTAACAATGAATAGATAAGTATTATAGTGTATTATATCTGTGGTTAAGGTTATTCATGAGATCATACAATGCATAATTAATGCTTTAAAAGTACTTCTATACTTATTAAATATATAAAGGATAAAAGTAAAGTGTGACCAATATGTTTTTTAAAATAATATGCTTTTATTAGTAGTATTTATGTAATGAATGTTTAAAGGTTTGAAAAATAAGAGGAGCACAAAGTTTTCCATGCCAGATCTCTTGCCTATTTGTATTTTCTCAAAATCATTGAGTATCAGTGTATCTTAAGGGTGTTGAAAATTATTTAAAAATGCATCTTTTGCAGAGTAGTGCTACATGAACATTGACATATGAAAAGATGCCTATTCAGGAATACATGCATGATGTGTTTTATTCATATTTAACATTTATTCATTTCATTTTAACCTTATTCTTGACTTCCATATATGCTATAGAGTACGTCTGTGTATTCGTGTGTGTGTTATGTGTGCGTATATATGTTTGTCTTTAGTGTTTGTTCAAAATATTGTTGCATTGTCTTCTGAGCTTAATTTGGACTTATTTTAATTAGAATTTTAGAATTATCTTGTTATGGCATTAAGTAGCTACAGTTATTTTTTTGTTCTTTAACATCTTGTAGTATATCTTTTCAGTATTTCAGTATTAAGGCTCATATGTATTAAAAGTAAATGTGTGGTGATTTTTATCTTAAGCATGGCATTGTTCCACAAAAGGTGATGCTGTATGTTGAATATCTGTCCTGGACACATTTTCATCTCCACCAGCTAGTTTTAAAGGGTTGTCTTTTACGCATTTATTTATTCAGGTTTGTTATAAACAGACACAGTAGGGGTTGCACAGTAGTTCAGGTTAAATTGTTCCTCAAAAGGCCTGCTGGATTAACTGGATGGCATGTAACTGTTCTGGCATTCTTAGCTAGCACTAATTTTGCGTTACTTACCCCATGAAACAACTCTTTAACCTCTTAATATGCATGCATTGTTTCGAATTACTAACCTTTTGCCATTAATTTTTTTTCTAGCGTTCTAATGCGCATTATTCCATGAAAGAAGCTGAATGAATTTACTCTCCCTTTGACCTTAATAGATTGATTCGACACAGTTGTTGTAAATGTACATTTACCTCAAATCCTCAACACTGTTGATTATTATCTAGAAACTGATTAGCGTTGTTCATGTGTGCTGACTGTTAACCAACTGTCTGGTCCCCTTTTCCAAGCTGGAGTCCCCTTTGAGTGTTGAGACAGAGCCCCAGATGAAGAGGACTGAACTGGTTAGTTCTCAAGCTCAGAGCTTAACAAAGAAGTACCAGGAAACCAAAGAGATCCTGCAGCTTCAAGAACTGAAAAAGCGCAACATGCAGGCACAGCTTGGCCTTTCTCTCTCACACTGGCCCGCAAAGGAACCTTACCTTTCTGACACCAAAAAACCCGCCACCTCTGAGGTCTGTCCCTCAAACTCCATTCAAAAAACGGTCAGCTTCATGCTTCAGGATAGCGAGGGAAAGATCAGAGAGCTAGAGAGCTTGATAGATGCCAGTGAGCCTCTGACATTAAGAGAGCTGATAAAGCTCATGCATTCACATAGCGAATACGTTGGGGTAGAAAGTCCTCAAGGACAGGAAAGCAGTGAGTCAGTTGGAGAAATGTCGCAGAAACTGTTGGAAAGCCTCAAAAACCAACAGGAGAATGAGACAATGAGGAAAAGCTTGGAAAAGGCTGGAGACTGTATTCGGGACTATGAAGCTCGTTTGGTCACCATGGAGGACATGTTGGGAAGAGTTCATAGGCAGAAAATGGAGAGTTCGTTTGTACTAGGTTGCTCGAGGGAAGACCATCCGGATCGGTCGCAGCAGGTGGAGTTGCTCGCGAGCGAAAATGTAGCTTTGAACCAGCGCTATCAGGAAATTGTGAACCAGTTGATAGAAGCAGATCGAGAGATAGACAGGCTGAAAGCTGAGCTTTGTAGACTACGTAGCGGTCAGCAATATCCACATTCCAACATGGAACAGGAGCAAGAAAACAAAAAGACCTCTGAGAAAAATGTGTACAAGCAAGAACTCCATGAAAAGTCACAGAAGCTACAAGAGGCTCTTATTAAATTGGAAACTCTTGGTAATAATTTGAAAGATACAGAGAAAAGATTGCAACTTAAAGAAGCAACTCTTAGGGGTCTTGGATTTCAGGTGGCAGAAAGTGAAAAAGATGATAAAGAGTTAGATTCGGAGACAAATGACCTCAAGCGCCAATTGGAGGTCCTTCAGTCCAAGCTTTCAGAGAAGGACAAGCAGCTTCAAAATGCTGAGCAGGTCTGTAGAGAACTTCAGTCCCAGAATGCGAAACATGAAGAGACCGCAAGGATGTGTAGTCAGATGCTTGTAGATACTCAGGAGGAAATTAGGACGTTGAAAGAGAAGGCAGGCACTCAAGGTACGTTTGGTAGTGAACCAGGAACAGAAATTGGGTGCCAAGAGTTGATGCAAAAACTCACAAATGAAGGTGTAATTGAGGAAGTCGTGGAAGAGTTCAAGAGCAAGTCTAAATCTCTTAATCATCTACTTGACATGTTGGTAATAGGCAGTAAGACAGATTTGTCCAACACCGGCATGGACACCAACATTTTGGATGAGAATCATGGAGGAATGATGGAGATGTTTGAGAGATTGATTCTACATAAGGTTTTAGCTGGTTTAGAGGACTGTCAAAAAGGCTCAGAGGTTGAGCAAACCCTAAGGAAAGTTGTAGAACGTATGCTAGTGGATAATGAAATGCTGCTTCTTATGAATAAGCTCTCCAACCTCCAAGAACTTCAAAGTGACGCAAAACCTGCATCTTGCACAGAAAAAAGTGCTGGATATGGAAATGCACTGAATGAAGAGACAATGAAATCGAATGTTTTGAATTGGTTGCCTGATGATGCTGCCAAACCCTGCGTCATGAAGACTCTTGCTGAAGTCATTCAGAAGAAAGTGACGCTATTGAATCAAGCCGCTTCTGCTCTTAGGGAACAAACTAATGAGGAGCTTCAATCATTGGCTTTGACTCTGTCAAGCTGTGGCACTCAAAGAACCTGGTCTGAGTATGTTCGTGAGGCCATAATGGACATAACATGCATGTACTTGGTAGTTCTTCAAATGTTGCCAAGGACAAGACCGTCAGACCTGTCTGCATGTGCAAATTGTGCAGATTTGAGAGCACAACTCGAGTCTAAGAAGCAGGTGTTGTCAAGCGTCCAGAGTCCCATCGGTGTAACCCACATTCAGATCGAAGGAGAACCAATTGACTCTCTGGACAAGGCCATACAGCTTCAGGACATGATGGCCAAGCATAAGAAGGAGCTGCGAGAATTAAAGGAGGCGTACGAGCAAGAAGCAGAAAAGCTGAGGCTGGAAGTGGCCAAGGCTGGTGAGACTCTGAGACTGAGATCCGAGGAGAACGTGAAAGAGATCGACTCTCTGACGGTGTGCATGGAGAACCTGAAGAAGAAGCACGAGATGGAGCGTAAGGACTTAATAGCACACTTCAATCAAGAGATGGAAGAGCTTACGGATGCCGTCGGCCCTGTCGAACCTGCAACAGATAGCGAGCCAAACTCAACTTCCCTCAAAGTGCGGCTCCAAAAACTCGTGTCCCGGCTGTCCGAACTGACTGAGGAAACAAATCTGCGAGATCGTGATGCGACATTGCTGCGTCTGAAATACGAGAAAGACCTGGAAAACCTAAAGGTCAAGGAGATCCGTGTCCTTGCTGTTCTCCGTCTGTATTGACTTCATGTGGCAACCTTAAACCTGATCCTTTCCCCTCCTTTTCTCATACTAACCCTGCTTTGTGGTGCTTTGGTCTGGCCTAATATTTCTCACCAGTGATGCATGGCTGCTAACTATAGGTTTGCATGTACGGTTTAACGCTAGGAATTTGGATGAGCCAACTGTGATGAGAGGAAAATACACCATTCTCTCACTGAAGAAGCCATTTCTAGATAATTTAAGTCCAATGGAGAACAATTAAGAATCCATTCGTCAGATGTTTTGGAGAATGCATAACTGCATACTCCTTATGTCTGGAGCAAGTCTGAAAACTTATGTGGTTCTCCTGGTTGACTTTGATCTGAACTTGTTCTCACACTTAACCTCTTTGCCTGATTAACAGTCAGTGCTCTTTGCATAAATTGCTGCTTATCTTTGATAACGGCAAAATGCCAGCTGCATAACTTAATAACAAATAATGCATGACAATAACTGAAATGTTTTATTTTAAACAATTGTTTAAGTACATATGAAAGTATTTGTGAAAGAATTGACTTTGAAGAGAGAGATGATTAAATTGCATTGTATTATTAGAATATAGCAAATTTAGATAATAAATTATATCAATTACAGTATTGGATTGTTGCACCAACTAAGCGGAACATCTGGCAATTTAAAATTTCCAAGTACTGACAAAAAAAACAGTTAATGTTTTGTACTCTGTCACTCAGTTACTGATTAAAAACACATGGATAATGGGAAAAATTAGAATAATTTCAGTAGTTTTCTATTATATTTTGTCAGTGTGATATGGCCTTAAAGACCAGAGCAAGTCAGTTCCTAACTAGATCATTTTGCGATTATGGACAAATTATAAACATGAAATTATGAGGCCAGTTTCAAATGGCGTTGGCATTGGTGTGCTTTTTTTCTTTTTCTTTATTATTTGCAAAACATAATTATTTACAAAATTTGTGCTTTGGCGTTGCAGGAATGTTTTCTCATTCCCCCTACTACTATTTATTTTCTAATATATTTCGTATTTAAAAGATATTTTATATTCATATTTATATTGCAGTTTATATTGAACATTTAGCGTATAAGTTGGTATGTTACTTCTTACAATTTATTAAATTTATTTATTTTTATGATTTATTCAATTCCTTTAAGATTTTAAAAAAATATATATAATGGCAAAAAATAGCTCTAAATGCTAAATTTGTTATCAATATGTGCTACTGGACTCATGTTTGTCCGGACAAAAGAGGAAATGAGATTTTCCACCCAGAGAGGCTGCTCGGAGTAAGCGAGTGCAGGTGTGGCTGTGATACAGGGACAGGAAGAGTTGGCCTGTAGTGGATCAGGACACAGGCCATGTCCCTGGACAGTGGACACTAGTCCTTCAAAAACAACTGCTTAATTCACTCCCCTGTTTAGAGCCGAGTACAGAGATTAGGGCCATTGAATAGACAGCAGAAATGCATTAAGTTTGCACAGTTTGAAGAGCATTGGCATCTCTTGTACTGAAATTAAACTCAATGTTGATGTATAGTAGCTCTAATCCTATGAGTCTTTGCATTGATGGCAAATCTTACAAATATAGGTGCTGCATTTTTTTAAATAGAAATTCCAGTTGTTTTTCAGACGTGGGTCTATATAAATTGAAATTTAAAACAATATATATATGGACAAGCATATGTAGCTCCCCCAAAACTTGGACATTTAAGCTGCAAATGTTTGAATTTCAATGCATTAAAATCTTAAATCAAGTGTCTGTACCCTAGTGAAAACAAAATATACTTAAATGAATTTGAAATGTATTTATTTTGTGCTAAGTATACTACAAATGTATTTACATATGTATGTGTTTAATAAAAATACCCTGCAGTTGTATTTTTGCTATACTAAACTGGTATACTTAAAGTCTTCTAAATTTGAACAACTTATTTTTTGCTTAATGCACTTTAATTGTGCAAAAGTAGTGTTGAATTCCAACTAAACATATACTGCAGTATATTTGATTGAGCTAAAGTGGAACTATTGCAAATATACTTTAAATATCTTGCAACTGATAATACAAAGATCATAGAGACCTTATTAATAGTGATATTAAATCACATTTTAGGCATAATATTAAGAAATGTGCATTGCGCAATAAAGAAATACTCCAAATAAAGTTTCATTATAATTTTATATCAGTCAGTCTTAATTTAGGTCAATAAATATGTTTGAAGTATACTTGGTATGAAATAAATGTATTTTAAATTAATTACGGCATAGGACTTTTTTACCAAATCAAATGCTAGAGCTTTTCTGAACTATTTTTGCATTGACTTTTAACTGGTGTCAAGCTGATTTTAGTGCATGTATGAAGTCAGTTCTCACAGTTCATCACTATCAACATGATCCACCAACATTTGACAACCACAAACTGTCCAATACTTTTTATCTTGAGTTTGAACAGTATATCTACTGCTTTATCATTTAAAGACTCTTTTGTGGTCTTTCTTTATAATAAATTGCCCTTCCTTTGATATTTTGTATCTAATCCAGTTATGTTCATGCATTAAGTATGGCAATGAACCAACAGTCCCATCACAGTGTGTATTTGTTTCTTTTTGAGAAGCCATCTCTCACTGTCCCCTTTGTCATTGTAGGTTATTAATACCTGGCTATGTGTGGACACTCTTCTGTCCACACATCGCTAATCTCTGTCGTCTGTGTAAATGTTGTCCTTGTCACAGTAGAAGTGGACTTGAATCAATCCAAATGAGATGCACTAAATGCCGCTTCATGCATTTCCCTACAGGCGACGTGTGAACGAGGCTTTGTCACCATGGAAGAGTCTCACCAGAAGGTAATCGATGAGCTGCAGAAAAAGCACCAGCGGGAACTGGAGAAACTGCAGGAGGAGAAAGAGAGACTGCTGGCAGAAGAGACTGCAGCCACTATAGCTGGTTAGTAAGGATGAAAAGGGCCAGGAGAAGACGTTTTGGGTCATTCTATAGCTGAATATGATCATTTGCAGGGATAAGATCACATATATATATGCAGTGTAGAATAGGACATTCCAGAATCACATGCAAATTATTAATATAAAAATATGCTCCTTATGCCAGAATCCATTATCTCTTAAACATAAAATATTAAATTGTGCTGATTTAACTCTTGCGCCATGAAAAAATCCTGAAAATCCTTTACCTAATTGGGTGTTCCCAGTTATAAATTACCAGATTTTTAAAATTGTTTTTTTACAATTCGGAATCGGCCAATAATGGCTTTAAATGTGCATAAACACATTGCATTACATCAAATACACACAATAATGTTATTTTTAGCAACGTCATATGACCCCTTTAATTCTAAAAAATAAGTTCCTGTTAAAAACTAACCAAAAGTAAAAATAATTTGCTTATAATTTCCACACAGGAGATACTTGGTCTTGTTTCCAAACAAGAGGAAATATATCGGTATCAAAAATATCGGCATATTGGATATCGGCAACAATCCAATATCATGCACCCCCCAACTTATTATGCTGTATTATCACCAAATCTTGGATTCAGACCTTGTTTTATTTCAATTAGCACAGGTTTTGTATTCCTTTTTTGAATTGACTGAGGCTTCTGAGTTTATGAACCTCAGTTTTTGAGTGGAAAAAAAGCACTATTTGTGGATAATTTTGGCAGTACCATTATATTAGCTAGCATTTCGGGAAAAAGAAAATCCTCTCCAGGTAAAAGTGATAAAATGTCTTAGGAAGTTTTATTTCTCAGCAAACACTTGTAACAAAATTTTGAAGAGTCATTCCTGAATCTATTTTATAGTTTGAGTAATTTAATGTCAATTTCTGGTTGTAAGACACATTACTAAATATACAGCCTTTTAATTATGTTTTTCTTTGATTAGCTATTGAAGCAATGAAGAATGCACATCGGATGGAGCTTGAGCGGGAACTGGAGAAAGCACGCAAGGCCAACAGCAACAATGAAAACGCAGACATAGAGGAAATCCGCAAACAGCACGAGTCAGTTGTTATTCCTTTATACTATTTCAGCCTCATAATGCAGCGCAGCCGCAACTTTGCATTCTTTTGAAAAATAAACTGCCTCTTGAGATTTAATTGCTTGAAATGAGTTTACAAAGCCACACCTCTACCTCGTTTTTATGATGCTTTTCTTCTGACTTCACTGTTGAAGCTGCGATACACAAATAAGTCTTGTGCATTCTGCATACTACATTAATTGGAGTGGATAAAGGGTTTAAAGCCTGACTGCATGACCGCCTCCATTGCCAAGTGTATCCTGGGGCAACGCAGCCTAGATGCCAAATCTGGAGTGATTGCACAGGTTCTTTCTTTGTGTACATGCTCGTAATCTGCCCTCAGGCTCTTGGCTGGACTTCTGTCTAGACTTAAAGGTCTTGCTCTTTTATTATCACTTTTAACTGAAAGGGAAAATGCACATGCATTTGTGTTGTAGGGAAGAGCTGATGTCGTACCAGAGGGAGATCGAGGTGTTGTCAGAGCAGTACTCGCAGAAGTGCTTGGAAAACGCTCATCTGGCCCAGGCGCTGGAGGCCGAGAGACAGGCGCTCAGACAGTGCCAGCGGGAGAACCAGGAACTCAATGCGCACAACCAGGTAACCAGTGCTAATTTCACTGAAAAATATTTTCCAGCATGCTTTTCGTCTACAACATTTTTTCACTTAGGGCTCTATGATGCCAAATTTTGAATGAATAAATCAAAAGTAGGTCAGTACACTTAAATCAAATGGTGATATAGACTAATCCTGCATGTTCTGTGTGTCTCTGTGTGAATGAATGGCGCAAACGCGCAGTTTTACCTATTTAAGCATGTGATGCTGGCAATGTTTTCAGAGTCTGCCGTCTCACTAAAAGAGGACATAAATACATAAACTCTCCACAACTGCTGACGGAAAAAACTACTGTCACATCATATACACACACAAACAAAACTCTGCACGGCAACCTGTAAAAATAAAAGTTCAGTTTAACTTGAAGAAATTGTGACAGAAATATATTACTATTGAACAGTAAAATGTAGTCTTACTACTATTACTACTACTAAAAATAAAATTATTAAAGCTTTATTTTGAAGAAATAATACAAATTTTCTTCCATTTTTTTATTTTAGTAATTAACCTCTGTTGAGCAGCACTTTGCTTGCATTTGTGTTGTAGGGAAGAGCTGATGTCGTACCAGAGGGAGATCGAGGTGTTGTCAGAGCAGTACTCGCAGAAGTGCTTGGAAAACGCTCATCTGGCCCAGGCGCTGGAGGCCGAGAGACAGGCGCTCAGACAGTGCCAGCGGGAGAACCAGGAACTCAATGCGCACAACCAGGTAACCAGTGCTAATTTCACTGAAAAATATTTTCCAGCATGCTTTTCGTCTACAACATTTTTTCACTTAGGGCTCTATGATGCCAAATTTTGAATGAATAAATCAAAAGTAGGTCAGTACACTTAAATCAAATGGTGATATAGACTAATCCTGCATGTTCTGTGTGTCTCTGTGTGAATGAATGGCGCAAACGCGCAGTTTTACCTATTTAAGCATGTGATGCTGGCAATGTTTTCAGAGTCTGCCGTCTCACTAAAAGAGGACATAAATACATAAACTCTCCACAACTGCTGACGGAAAAAACTACTGTCACATCATATACACACACAAACAAAACTCTGCACGGCAACCTGTAAAAATAAAAGTTCAGTTTAACTTGAAGAAATTGTGACAGAAATATATTACTATTGAACAGTAAAATGTAGTCTTACTACTATTACTACTACTAAAAATAAAATTATTAAAGCTTTATTTTGAAGAAATAATACAAATTTTCTTCCATTTTTTTATTTTAGTAATTAACCTCTGTTGAGCAGCACTTTGCTTGCCAAAAAATTTGAAAGGGTTTGTTTAATTGTCATTTTATTAAAAGATTAATTGTATGTTTTATGATGTTTTATCATAAATTATTTACCATCATTTAATTACCAGAAACAATAATGAACATAACAGTATTTCTGGAGAAAAAAACCCCCTAAATATTTCATTTTGATTATTCAAATTTAATTAAGCCAGTAAAATGAAAAGTCAGAAAAATCAACATAGAAAACAGAATTTGGTTTAAAAGAAAAAAGAAAAAATTAATAGGGCACTAAAAATCTTTTAATAAATTGCCATTAACTTGTATAAGTTTCATGATTTTAATTCATTAGACATGCTTTTTAATAAAATGTAATTTAACCATTATAGGGGTCATATGATGCGATTTAAATTTTTCCTTTCTCTTTGGAGTGTTATAGGGCTGTGCGATATTCGATATGCGATTCTATATTGCTTAAAGTGTGAAAAATCTATTTGAATTATATTTTAAAATATTTAAAAATGAAAATTATATAACCAATTTGTTTCACATTCTTTCTTGGAAAAGAAAGAATCACTACAACTTCTGAAAGTGACCAGCAGTGTTTTAGCAGTGCATAAAAAGTAATGTCACAAATCAGAAAATGTAATTTTAACATCAATGTGAATGACAAAAAAAATGAATGACACTAATTTTATATCATTGTTACTTTGCTTTCCACACACTTTAAGTACTTCTTCATATACCACAGCAAAAACTATAGTCTGAGAAAGTTCAAACATGATTAAAGGGAAGTGAACAGTCAGTAAAAAAAAGGAAGAAAAAGGGGGAAAAAAGAACAAATACACAATTTACAAGCATATATAAAATAAATAGTATTCAGGTACAGAAATTTATAATTAAGTGTAAAATAACACTGCATTGTGTTCACTGTATGAATTAAATTTAGATTAGTCTTTATAGCTGTTTTGTTGTTTGATTAACATTAGTGACATATTCAGCTGCACGCATTTATAGGCTGCTGTCCCTTTAAATCCGACTGCACGGATCCAGTATAATGATGCACATCCGATTTCTTTCTTAGCTTGTTTACATTCATTTAAAACATGACTGCATTTACGAGAATGATCGTCGAGACGGGTACTATTGACATAATTCTGTGTGTATGTGTCTGTTCAAACATGAGGAGATGCGAAAGACGAACACGCACACGTGTGCGGCAGAACTGAAGAGACTCTGTGCGAGATGCGGCTTGTGCGTGCGCTTCAGGTGAGAGTCAGACAGCAAGACGAGACGGCAAAGAGTTGTTTTCTGCAACTTATTGCACTTAACTCATTTTAACGACAAACAATTCTCTGCTATATGCGTCGAACTAAAACTTTGACCTTTTGCAACGTTTTGATTTAAGTAGCCTATTATTAAAATGATTCAGATATCGCACGCCGTTGCAATATGCATATCGCGATATTTACATTTGCGATATTTTCGATATATCGTGCAACCCTAGAGTGTTACAAGCTCTTGGCGCATAAAGAAGATCTGTAAAGTTGCAAAGACTAAAGTCTCAAATCCAAAGAGATATTCTAAAACGGCTCGTTCTAACACGCCCCCACATGTCTATGTCACTATGTGGGAAGATTTGCATAACGCCGCCCAAATGTTCACGCAAAGAAAGAAGGCGTAACTTTTATTCTCGCTGTAGTATTGTTGCCGCCGCCATGTCGTGAAGACGCTGTGTGCTTCGTTGTGAAAGCGAAACTACTTTGTTTGGTCTTCCAAAAGAGGACGATATCCGCTTTGTCATGCCTGGAGCTGATCCGTGCTGGTCGATTAGGAAATACATCAACTTCACGCTGTGGATCGCCGGATCGGCTTTCACCGTGGACGAAGCAGAGTCCAGCCCGGGGTCGTCACATGTGGTTGCCGCAAGCCCACCGGACGCTTCTTCGTCGAATCCGCCGGCCGCGCCATTCTCAAGCCCGCCCGCCTCCGCTCACTTAAGCCGGCCTCCGCATACTCTAGCCCGCGGTGTGTGATGCTGTTTCATTGTGAAAGCGAAAATACATTGTTTGGCCTTCCAAAAGAGGACACGACTAGAAATCAGTGGTTAAGTTGTATTTACAACACTGTTCCAGAACACTTCAACCCAAATATTCAGATGTGTGCAGCACATTTTATGGAGGACTGTTTCCTGATCCTGGGAGAGTAGACTACAATGCCGGCTGTTCTGACTCACAGACTGTACGTTTTTTTTTATATTTAAAGAATTTGAAAAATATAAGAATCGACACGTTTCAGAAAGGCAGGGCATAGAGGAGAAACAATAATGTACAGTATGTGGAAAATAATGTTTTTTTTTTTACCTAAAACCGCATAAACACATTTCATTACACAAAATAATGTTCTTTTTAGCAGCATCATATGACCCCTTTAAAACAGAATCCAAAGAATGAAATGAAATGAAGGGCCCTATTCACTGACAAAAATGGGACTACAACTAAATAAAAAAACTATTTTGAATGACAAAAACTATTGCAAATCTATTGACCTTTTCGTCAATGGATGAGACAACAAAATGAGACAAAAATGTTAGGGAGAGAACTGAATTCTCTTTCTCATTTTATTGTGATTTAACAGACAGATACGCACAAAAGTATGTCAAACTGTCCATTGTGGTGAGTATTCAGAGTTGGTTATGTATTAAGTGAATGTAAGCAGTTGTGAGAATTTCAGATGCGTATCAGTGCATTAGGTCTTAAAGTGACAGCAGCCTAATAAACCTTCTATTGTCTGTTTCAAAAAAGAGAGAAAATCACTCTCTACTCATGACTGAATCACTTTAGTATTAATCTATATTTAGTTCATATAAATGTCTGCTTGAAAGAGTGAAGAAGGACATAAGCAAATTGTTACAATGTATGCATATATAACCACTGGTCTTTTATTGAAAATATCATGTTGTTGTTTCTTAATGAAAAGTGGTTTTATGTAATTTAAAGATAAATAAAGGCATGTTATATGTCACATCGGTTAAATCTGTGTCTGTATTGCATCTTCAAACCTTAATATCATTCATATTAACAGGTAAATACATTGTTTTCTCCAGGAGTATATAATGAGTTTAGACATTTTAGATAAATTATTAATGAATGCTTTACAGTTTAACATTTAGTCGACTAAAACAGTTCAGATGACTAAAACTAAATGAGGTTTTAGTCAAAAGACTAACTTAAAACTAAATCAAAATGCAGGTAACCATGACGTTAGCGCAAATAAATCCACTTCAGATGCACATAAGACCTGATTTTGTTCCCCAACGTGCTGTTTTATGCTTCTTGTCTGTTATGCAGGAGCTAAACAATCGTCTGGCAGCTGAGATCACTAAGATGCGATCGATGACAAGCGAGGACGGCGGAGACACTGGCGGGTTCATACAGGGGAAGGAGCTGTATGAGCTGGAGGTCTGTTTCTTCCCTTTATGTCTCGCTCTTTTTCCACAGCGTCCTGGGAATGAAAAGCTCATCGTCACACTTGCGTTCACAGGTAATGTTGAGGGTGAAGGAGTCAGAAGTGCAGTATCTGAAGCAGGAGATCAACTCTTTAAAAGATGAGCTCCAGACTGCCCAAAGAGTAAGTGTTGCAACTTCATTTATGTTTGAAGAGTTCAAAAAAAATTTTTTAAAAACAATTTAAAAACTTGTTACACATTTTTCAAGACTTGCACAAATAAAATGAATACTGTATGACCTTACAAAACACATTCATACAATCTCAAAATTACTGTTGTTTTTGTTTTTATTAAACAGGCTGTGGCACACATTCAAGTTTAAAATATTTAATGTTTTATTTAATAAATGCTTATGTATTGCAATTGGTTTATGTTTTAATATAGTATCAATACATTAGAATTATAGGTCAATGATATTTGATTTTGTAGATGCGATAATAATGTGTTCAAAAAAATAAACAGATTATTGTGCCGATATTTGTAAAATATGTAAATCGGATGGTAAATAATGTTCTTAGTCTTTCCTTCCTGCGATGGGCGGCCCAGATTGAGTTAACGTTTAAATGCCAGATACAGTTTGTGTAACCAGAAAATAAACAAGTATTTTATGTATTATGCAGGACTTTAAATTATAAACAGTCCCGAATACACTGGGACTCTTATTTTGAAATGTGAAGCTCTTGCACTCTTAAAACCATCTACAACACAGAACAATATAAATACCGTAACGTAAACGCTGACATAATTCATCATCAATAGATCATAATCAGTTGCTTGACATAAATTTGTAATATTCTAATATAGTATCAATACATTAGAATTATAGGTCAATGATATTTGATTTTGTAGATGCGATAATAATGTGTTCAAAAAAATAAACAGATTATTGTGCCGATATATGTAAATCGGATGGTAAATAATGTTCTTAGTCTTTCCTTCCTGCGATGGGCGGCCCAGATTGAGTTAACGTTTAAATGCCAGATACAGTTTGTGTAACCAGAAAATAAACAAGTATTTTATGTATTATGCAGGACTTTAAATTATAAACAGTCCCGAATACACTGGGACTCTTATTTTGAAATGTGAAGCTCTTGCACTCTTAAAACCATCTACAACACAGAACAATATAAATACCGTAACGTAAACGCTGACATAATTCATCATCAATAGATCATAATCAGTTGCTTGACATAAATTTGTAATATTCATTGACTGCAAACTGCTATTTTGACTTTGAACATGCAGTGCTCATATTTATTTAAATACATCATTGCCTTTTGAAGTTTAATCGTCACATTAGGATGTATTGCGATTGCTGAATTTTATAAGATGGATGCAGAAAAAATAAGATTTTATTCCCAAGTACATTTAAATATTTTTTTTAATTGAAATGTATTAAATGTTTGTATCAATTCTATTGTGTTGAATCTGTATCTGCCATGTAATAGCCTGAGAAGCTGATATGACAATAAATTTAAATACTATTTTTTGTACCCAAATTTAAAATCTCCTAAAATGATAATAAAGCCTTTTAAAGAGTTTTTATGACCTGAATTTTAATCAGACTTGATTTTTAAGACTTTTTAAGGACCCTGATGAAAGAATGTATGTGGATTAACGTCAATAACCTGTGCCACATCTCTTGATAGGATAAAAAATATGCAACCGATAAATACAAGGACATCTACACGGAGCTGAGCATCGTACGGGCCAAAGCAGAGCGCGATCTGAGCCGACTGCGCGAGCAGCTGCAGCAGGCCCATGATGCACTGGGGGATCCCGCGCTAGAGGACGCGGAGCGCGGCGGTTACGGTACGACCCTCGTCTCGAAATCAACCCACACTCAAATACACTCATGTGCATGTTATGAACCGACCGGCTGTCATGTCTTTCAGATATCATGAAGTCAAAGAGCAATCCTGACATTTTAAAGATGGCGGCCGCAGCAGCCAAACGCTCCGAACGCACCATGAGGTCAAAGGTAGGTTTCCACACACACTTTGAGTCCTCTGGTGTTGAATAAGAGTTAGTTAAGCTCACACTGCCACCCTCAGGTCAACACGTTGTTGACAAAATACAGCAGCTTCTGCTTGTGAACAGTCAGGAACTGAACTGAACTGAGTGTGTGCTGTGTTTTGTTTTGTTGTCCAGGAAAAAGCCTGATAGGTAGGTAAGACTTTTGCACATTCCCTCCTCTAACACACAGTCCCGTGTGTATGTGTGTGTGTTTTCCTCTGTTCCCAGTCTGTGAGTCGTGACATGCCCTGGGACAGCTAAAGACTAAACCTGAAGACCTTTGACTTCTGATTTTAGGTAAAAGCCCTTAGAAGGGAGCGAATGCGCTGAACTCCCCGTGCATCATTCAGAGGGATTCATGCTAGGGCTGGGCGATAAACCAGATCACATTGAGATCATGATAAAGCCATGATAAGCACTGGTGGTTTTTAGTGGATCTGGATGAATCTAACAGCAGCAGCAGCTGTCAGTGTGTGTCTGTAATAATCTGCATGTTCTGCGCAGTTTCATGTACTACACAAACTCAAACGCATGTGATGCTCGTCTCAATATATGAGGACATGAACTTCCTCTCCAGAGCTGCTCCAAGAGTCACTTCAGCAGCATTACGCCATTTACTTTGAGGAAAAAAACTACCGTCAAGTAGTGATTGGTGTTTTGAAACTCTTCTTCAGGAAACCGTGGTGAATCAGCCAGTGATTTGGAGCATGTATCAAACTTCCAAAGCCACGTGATTTCAGTAAACAAGAGTTCATTGTGTCTACTATAGTTTTCACCTGATCTTGGCATTTATAGACATTGTTCATAAGACACTTGTGTAATTAAAAGGAATAGTAGTTGTTAATAGTCTGTTGTTGACAAGCCCTTCATAAAAGGAAAACAAGCCGTGAAAGTTATTAATAGAACACATATTATACAGACACTTCTTATTTAATGGGATTTGTTCATTGCATTTAATATAATATACTTTCAATAAAACCTTTGCAAAAACCCAAGTTTTTGTTGCATTTACACTGTTCTGACCAGCATGAGGAGTTTCACTCACTTTAAAATAGTGAATCATTTTGCAAAGCAGTTTATTCAAAGCTTTGTAAACATTTTTCTCCCGTCACTACTGTCAAATATACACCAAAACTCAAAAGATTTTCACCACAAACCAACAAAATAAAGTTCAGTTTAACTTGAAGAAATTATATTATTATTATTGTAACTAAAATGATATTGTTTTTATGGAGTATCATACAACCAAGATATCTTTTTATCCATGTAATTGGATGCATTCATCCATTGTACAGCATCTTATTTAACAAAAATAAATAAATTAATTGTTATATTTTCCATTTGATTACATTTTACAGTTTTATTGATTAATTTCATCAGACACCATTTTTGATGCTAAATTTGTATTAAATCATAAAACACAGAATCCAGAATAAATCCAATGTAAAACAGAATTTATATGAAGAGGTGCCCTAAATTAAAAGGTATCTAACTCTGTAGTTTGATTGTGAACAATCGAGTGATGTGTACATTCATTCTAACAAACATGTGGAAGCATTTCCTTCATTACTGCTAAATGATTATTACATCTAGTCCTTTAGCAGATGCTTTTATTCAAAGTGACTTATAAATGATGATATTGTGATAGTATTTTTGGCCATATCGCCCAGCTCTAGTTCATGCATTGACAGACAAACAGATCCGATTATTTTCTGCCGTGGTGCATGTGATCCTGCTGATTGAAGGGCTGTCCGTGTCATCTCATGTTCATCAGACGCACGTCTCGTGGACTCGAGGGCATTTCCATATGCATTGCTGGAAATCGTTCATATTGAGTTTCACAGGACCGGTCGCGGCGGTTCACGGCATGCGTCTGCAAGTGTGTGTGTGTGTGTGTCACTGGAGTTTGTTGGTGGCACAGCTGGCAGTTATGAATACTTTTGTCATTTTTGTTGAGGTCACTGATTTAAACGCAATGAAAAAGCAGGGATTTGTAATAAAGAAAATAATACTTTTTGAATCTTTTTTTTTTTTAATTTTTATAGAGTTGCTTTGAACAGGGCTTTTGGAGGTCTTCCACAAATGAAGACCTTAAAAAGGTCTTACATCGGAGCAGAAAGTCTTACATTCATAAAGTCATGGCATTAAATGTTGCATGCACTGCAAAACATGAATTTCTCAGACTTTGAAGTGTTGCAAATACAATGCATTACTTGCGAAACAATATATGCATGTCCCTGGACATTTACATTCACAGATCATATTGACATATGTGACCACAAAACCAGTCATAAGATTGAATAAATAAGCTTTCCATTGATGTATGGTTTGTTAGGATAGGACAATATTTGACCGAGATGCATCTGAAATCTGAGGGTGCAAAAAAATCTAAATACTGAGAAATTCGCCTTTAAAGTTGTCCAAATGAAGTTCTTATTAATGCATATTACTAATCAAAAATGAAGTTTTGATATATTTACGGTAGGAAATGTACAAAATATCTTCATGGAACATGATCTTTACTTAATATCCTAATGATTTTTGGCATAAAAGAACAATCTTATAATTTTGACCCATACAGTGTATTGTTGGCTATTGCTACAAATATACCCGCACTTTTGTGGTCCAGGGTCACATATTGTGTTCCATAATTAATCTTAAAACAAGTCAATCTTCATCAAACCTGCAGAAACCCTGTTGTTATGGACATGCTCACAGAAACCGCTTCAAAACACCACATTTGAGTCTCTCTGTTTGCGTCTCCAGAGTCTGAAGGAAGGTTTGACGGCGGAGCAGAGACTTCACTTGTTCGACAACAAGGACACTAAGGACTTCTGACACGGACGCGTCGACCGGCCTCGCTGCATGCTAATAAAGAGCCGCGTATTTTAGCCCAATAATCAATCACTTAGAGACACACTGGTCACAGCTACAGCGTATATTAAACATGGTATGAAGTTTGAGTTTTATGTCTATAGTCTGCATTTCATGCACTTCAGTTACTGTGACGTTGCTGGTTTGTTTTCATTGCCATGTCTTAATGTAAATACTTTGTTTTTAATGAAGCATCTATCATGCGTACACTAAACACGGCCGTGTAAGCTACTGTTTGAACTCTTTAGTTTGTGTGAATCGCCAGTGGAGGAAGTAACCCACGTCATGACTCGACACTACAGATTATTGGCACGGCAGGAATCATCACGCGTGACGCTAGAAGTGGTCGCTCTGCGCGTTTCCTCCGGCTCTTTCTTGTTTTAGTGAAATGGGATGCATATAAAATAGCTGCATTTAGTCGACGCTTGCATCATTAACCGCTGACCTTCTGCAGCTTCTCCGGATGTTTTAAATAAAGGACCATTTCTGATGACTGTAAAGCACACAGGAACAGACCTGAAAGGGTTTGGGCTGCTCTAAAGAATATTAACAAGGCTGTATAAGGTTGCCGTTATGAATGAATACTGGTCCACTCACGTGAATGGGAGGTGTTTTTTTTTTTTGTTTCTTCAAGCTGATAAAGTCAGCGGTGTTGTTCAGTGGCAGTCCATTGTATTTATTTAAATGTTATGAATTTTTGTCTCACATTTCCATTCATCTATACATTGTTGTAAATATACTGCAAATGTACACGAACTGACAACAGGTTTATTAGCAATAAATATTTTTGCACCCTCTTTTGCACTGATTAATCTGTCATTTATTTATATTGCAGGGTGTCTGCTGGTCTTAAAAGAGCGGAAAGTCTTGCATTAAATGTGGTGTACATCTTTCTTCAGATTTTTTTCTTCTTCTCCGATACAAATTTAAAGTTAGTTGTTTTCTGAGAAAAGGAAAATAATGAGTTTATACTTCAAACAAGAAGAAATATATGGGAGTGGGAAATGAAAGTTAGTTTTCCCTCTGAATTTATTTTTTATTAAATATTTAAATATTCCATGCCCATTAGCAGATATTTGCTCTGGTTTAAACCATAAACTCACTTCATTATGATCAATTTCTCACTTTTGTCATTTTACTTCTCAAGAGAGAAGTTGTTTAAGAATCTTTAGACATTAAAACAAGACAAAAATACACTTTTGCGTTTTGATCAGAAGGTACAGTAAAAGCTGTTTCTGTATTGTAGTGGTTTGTTAAATTTTGTATATGTTTGTTTGTTTGGAAGAAATTGTTAAAAAGTAATAGAAATCTGTTGAAGGTTATATGTTCAAACTTTTGACTTGGTCTTAAAAAGGTCTTTAAAAAGTTTAAAATGTACTTTCATACAACATGCCGGATGTAGGAATCCTGTATTGTTGCTTTTTTTATAGTATAAGTCATCATGTATTTATAAATGAAATTATACGACAATTAGGGATGTGAAAACCTAATTTATTACAATGTCCTGAATAATCCAATTAATTGCACATTCATTTTGGACAAAAGATAATTTAAAAAAATAAGCAATAAATTCATATTCAATAAAGAGTTTATTAGTTTACTTTTATTTACAATAAAATGTTCACGAGTACCCTATTTTTAATATTTGAGAAGTTTTTTTTTTTTCTTCTTTGCACTGATTTTCAAGGAACCAACTATCAGGCTCCCAAAAATCAATAAAAACCTGGAACATTTGAAAGACTTCAAAATGTGCTTTTAGACCTGCAAATACAGCAACTCTTAGAAATGCGTTGTTCCAGCTATGTGTGAGTCCTGAAGTAAACATGCAAAGAGATGCATCACAATTCTTTGTTTTAATGGAGCATCTTGTGTCGCATAATAACTACACTGTTGAGTGGACTGACTACAACAAGTCCCATAATGCTGCGCAATGGCCCACTCTGACAGCACAGCAGCGCAGCCGAGCACACAAGTATGAGAAGCTCCCGTTTCATGCATTATTCAGTCCGACCTCAAACAGAAGCGGCTGCACCCGAAAGAGTGCGTTTCTTTCCAGCGGGATGGAGTTTGCGATGGTTTCGTGAATAAATGCATCTGCTCGGGTGAGTCTGCACGCGCGCGCTCTTCGCTCTTTGTTTAGCTCGCTTTGCTTTGCTTTGCTTTGCTAACGGAAGCCTGCGGTGCTCCTCCAGCGCTCGTCTCTGATTCATTGCGCGGTTTAATTGGGGTTCATAACGACATACATTTGCTGGACGCGTTAGTTATTGTTGTCAGCATGTATATTAGCCCGCATACTAACAGCCTGCTATGCTAACGTTAGCACAACACACGCCAGACGAGAAAGCGACACAGAACCCCAGGTAACGTAAAGCGACTCCTGAAGAACCAGACGAACCCGGATTAAACCTGGTCTGGGGATGTTTGACCGTTCTGGATGTTATCCAGATCATACGTGATTTTATGTAGTGCAAAAGACACGGATTTAGCCGATTCTGGAGATAAAACATGACAGTACCAGGGCGGGAGTGTCAGAGATGCATGCCATCAGTGTTAGTTTATGCGCTAATAAATCCATGCATGCAGTTTGGAAAAAAATAAGCGTGACTTTTATGATAATGAAATGTGCTTTAGTTTGTTTCGGTAATATTTATCCTTTAATATTTTGTGTTTCATAGCCATACACGGTATCAAACTCCAAATTAGCACCATGTTTCCCCCTGTATAAAATAATAGAGAAAATATTTAACTTTATTTTCAATTAATAATCTGTGAGAAATAGAAATAAAGAAAATGTTGCTCTACTTACAAGACACAAGTGTGACACAAGCCATTTAGGCTTTTTAAAAATAATGCCCACATTATTTATTATTATTTATTTATTTATTTATTATTTTCAATGCGCATTAGCTCTTGTCTTGGGTAATGTTTCCGCTGTGGCGCAAATGGCTCATTGCATGAATCTAAACTGGTTCAAAAATGTGATTAAGTCATGTTGATAATTTAGAGCAACCTTAACATAATTTTCAGGATTTTCAAATCCCGTTTGAAGACATATTTCTAATATTTGGCATATGACCAGCTTTATTATATTTATTATTGAATTGAATCTAGTTTTTAGCTTTTTGCATTTTTTTTATTAAATATCCCATTTTTATTGTCAAAGCACATTGGTCAACTTGCATTGTTTTTAGTGGTGAATTTTGTATACATTTTATATACAAAATATGCACTCATGTTTCTGCTCTCAGAGCCTCCAAATTAAAACGGTTGTGAGCAGCTGTAGAGAAAATCTGATTCCAGTTTTATTATTTTAATTATTGCTATTGTTGTTGTTATTGTAGCTTTTGCATTTTTAATGCAACTTTTTTAAAAATGTAATTTTAATAAATATTTCATTTTTTATGGTTAAAGATTGGTCAAATTGCGTTTTTAATGGTGCCTTATTAAAGGGTCATGAAACCCCAGACTACTACTACTGAGATTTTAGCAGAGGTGTTTGTGTTGCACATCATAGAAGACAATGTTAGCATCCGATAATTGTAACTGTTTGAGAAAACTGGTTAATTTTAAGCATTTTTGCTCTATTTTCATCTTCCGGGTTTAAAGGGGTCATATGATGCGATTTCAATTTTTCCTTTCTCTTTGGAGTGTTACAAGCTCTTGGTGCATAAAGAAGATCTGTAAAGTTGCAAAGACTAAAGTCTCAAATCCAAAGAGATATTCTTTATAAAAGTTAGTGTAACCGTTTATACAGCTCCGTGACACAAGCCATCAAAGGGCTTATATAAACACTGCAGAATAAGCCTTAGGTTATCAGATGTGCAACAGTGCATTCATATATATATATATATATATATATATATATATGCTTTCGATGCAGAGTGCAAATGGTTGTGGTTCTGGACTTCTGAACCCGAAGCTGTGTGTGTTGTCTGTCTCCTCTTCCCGCTCCGCTCCACGCCCACTCTTTTAGCATTTTTTAAAACTGTAGTGAGAACTAACCAGTGCTGAAACAGGGGGTTTTATGACCCTTTAATAAAATTGATCCTCATGTTTCTGCTCTCAGTTGATATGGAAGAGCCTCCCAGCGACTCGGATGGTTTACAGCCTCAGGATCTGTCCTCCGCCTGCAGCCTCCCCAACATCTTCGATCTGACGCGGAATGCCGAGGAATGCCTCCTTAAAGCCAACCCCATCGACGCCTTGCATATAGTCCAGACGCCGGGCTGGTTTGTCAATCCTGGGACCAGCAATGGGATGTTGTTTCCCGAAACCGACCCTGAACCTCTTCTGCTTCCCACAGACCAGATCCAACCGGATAATGCGTTTTCCAACACGACCGTCACGCTCTCCTACGTGAGCCGGTCGCACGTCTTCTCCGAGCATTCCCCGATCTACGGCGTTCCTTCCTTGAGCAAGGCATTTGCGCTGCATCCCGCCACGTATGATGCCGGACAGCTGGTGACGGATGCCGGAGACGCTGCACTTTCGGTGGACCAACACTGTCTCCAGCAGGTGTCTGTACCTGTCGGACTGACGGCCTGCGATCAGTTCGGCTTCATGTCACCAGCTCAGGTCGTGGAAAACGTGGCGGCGTTCTGCTACCTTCAACAACCTCCGGATATGCAAGACGTGGAAAATCTGGCTTTGGAAACGCTCAAATCTTTACAAGCCGATCCCAGCGAGTGCGGGTTCCCCATCAGTGTGGGTGAGCTTCAAAACAGAGCTGCAAATGGCCTGTGGAACGTCGGACCCTTCGAGGGAGGATTTCAGGAGGACGACGGCGCGAACGCTGACGGGTTACACCAGAACGCCAATCCGGAGCTCGTCTTTCTTATCTCCAGATCCGAGGAGCCGGTGGTTTTACCGAACGACGGCTTCGCCATTTCATTAAATCAAGACTTCATTAGTCCGTTGGATCCTGAGTCTCCGTCAGCGGCGCAAATAGAGGATGTTTTTGCGAGTTCTCCGAGTGGAGCAAAGCAAGAAGAACAGTTTGATTCTACAATGCCGGAGGCAGCTGAGATCGAATCACCAGAAACACCAACAGAGAAAACTGACAAAACGTGCAACACCGAGTCCGTGCATTTCAACGATGCATCTGCAGAACAAACCGACACCGATGCATTCAAATCAAGCGGCAGTTCGCTCACGCTTGAGAGGAAAAGACTGCCTCCAAGAGCTAGACGAGGTGTTAGGATGGGAGCCATTGTTCAAGATATCCATCCCATCAGGAGTCGCGTGTGTAAAAGAAAAGCTCAGAAGAGCAAGTCCAAGAAAAAGGTGCTGGAAAGGATGCACAATGTGGCGGATGTAAAGAAGAAGAAGAAAAAGACGTCAGAAGAAACCGATGTCAGACGTTCAAGCAGACGTAAAGCCACACTATCTACCTCAACTTCTGCAAAGACGCTAGATGCATTTGTAAAACGCACAAAGAAAAAATCCTCCGGAAGGATAAGAAACCTTCATTCGGTACCAGTCAAGCATCAAAAACCAATGGCGGCTCAACAAGGCCTGAAGAAATCTGCCAAACGGAAGAGAAAGAAACACCTAGTCGGCCGTGCGTCATTTTTCTTGC